CGAATTGATAGCAAAATCTGAACGAACAAGAACAGAGGGTACCAATGGCAGGCTACGGTACAAACGAGAGCTATGCTTCTGAAATTGAATTGTTTATATCGCTTGCGGTGATTCTGATGCTGGGATTTTGGAAGCTTTTCTTAACCCGATGCGGTTAGCTCTAAGACTTTGCTTGTTCATGTATTTGTACCTTTTTTTAAGACTTTTCTTCTTTTAGCTGATCTATATATTATTGGTTTAGTTTTTGGCCAAAACTGACCCTTGTTGGATATATGTGTGTGTATATATTCTATGCTCTTAAGTTTTTTTTGACTTGAGTTTCTTGTTATTGATACTGATAAGGATCAGGGTGTTCTATTAGTTTAAACTAGTCCTATTACACGATCCAAAACTAAGAAGATTCAAGAAACATTAGTACTTCACCATTAAAATTAGATAGGCTTGGTTCAAATTCCACTTCATGTGCTGCAAACTATTCCAAAGGTTTGGACCATTTAAAGCTTTGAAGGTTAATGTGTTCCAGATTGAAGTTGACCATGGAGTTACTGTTAAATTCACTTGAAATGACATGTTCTTTGAAGAGTTCAATTAGTGTAAGGGAGATTATGGATAAAGGAAATTGTCTCTCGAGATTGAGATATTTTCCTAGAAATTCGTGCATGAATCTTTGATATCTCTAAGTTCCCTTGTTATTCTTGCGATAGTTTGCGTTTGAGCCATTCAATCCCACCTAAATCAAGTTAGATTGTGGAATGATTCAATCTAGAACAAGAAATACATCCATGGACTTCTCCATCAAGTCTGCGAAGATTGGCATCATGCACCTCTGAAATGTTCTTGGTGCGTTGGGAAGGTTGAACAACATTCTTTTGAAAGTATACGTCCTATATGGGCATGTGAAGGTTGTCTTCTCCTAGGCCTCTGGCACAGTAGTGATTCGGTTGTATCTGGAATATCCATCCATAAAGCAATGGCAAACTTTCCTCGTCAATGGTCTTTCTTGGTTGCCACACTTAGCTTGCAGTAGTCCATACACCAGTCAGTGACAGTGCGAGTAGGAATTAGTTCATTCTTAGCATTGGCCAATAACCATCATGCTTCCTTTCTTGGGGAAGCATTGAATTGGACTCACACAGTTGCTGTCAGAAATAGGGTAGATCACCTCTGTGTCTACCTGCACGTTGAGCGCTGATATTGCGCTACATTCTTTCACAAGATGACACAAATCTCATCACAAAAGCCTCCCTTTCTCATGGAGGGGTGAGTGAAGAAGAAATTCTTCAATTGGCTCTCTCCAATCCTGAGATTTGACTTTTTACCCCTTGGAAATTTTTACCTTCCACAATGAGGTAAAGACAGAAGCGCTAGATGGGGAGGGAATAATCAAATCATAAGGAACTGTAGGAAAAGCCTTTGGATGGACTAAGACTCCAAAGACGAACGTCACTTCTCTCGGAGCCAGAGCGAAACTCTCCAATTAAAGATAAAAGAGCCAGAATAGCTGTTGGTTTCCACTCAAACAATTCAAATAGGAAAACATAGAGCAAAAGGGTCTATCCATAAACCATCTATGGTACCGAAAGTAGGTATCCCATCCTACTTTGATAGTATCGTCAACGAACTAAAGATGAGGCAATGCTAACTTATCCTTCCCTACCTCGAAACCCTCGTGAATATTACCCTCCACCCCACCCCCTTTGATACAATTCTGCTGAGAATATCCACAACTAGCAAGAAAAGAAAGGAGACAGCAGGTCACCTTGTCTAAGCTTCTTGAAACACAAATCCTACTCCTCGATTTATTATTAATGAGGTTGGAGTATTCAACTATTCTAACTCCCTCCTGCTTGCGGGCTCTATAATCCTCAAAGGCCTCATTGGCAATAAGGGTTTAGTCTAAGATTTGCTCGCTAGCTGAAACCACCTTGGGAATTTGAATTGTCTTAGGAAGAACCTTTCTCAGCCACCTTGGCAATGATTATATACACGCTGGTATAACTAGATTAATAGGATTAAAATCCCTAAGATTCCAAGTCCTTTCCTTCTTAGGTATGAAGCATCAATAAATTATTTAGACGTGAAAAAGTAAAGCATGAATGAATAATAAAATAATGAAAAGTTTTATAAACTAGAGCTTTTGTAAGAGCGCGTTTGGAGAAACGAGCGTTTGAGATATGTTTTTCAATATCTTTATAAAATTTTAAATAAACCAGTGTGTCACTTCTTTGAAATGAGGTCCTCTACGAGGGCCTTTTTCAGGAGTGTTCCTAGTCTGGGGAATCGACAAGGAAAAAGATTCTTATGAAAACTCTAGAGAATTGGATCTAAGAACCCTTATGGTTATACAAACCCTTAGATCGAAAATGCAAAAACTCTCAAATCAAGTTGAAATCAAAGATTACAAAGATGCTCTTATACCCGAGGATAAGGTGACTATAATTCTCAGCCTAATGACACGAGCTTTTGTTGAAGTAAGAACTCTTGAATCAAACAATTTAGCGTTTATGCAAATTTAAAAAATCAACTCAAGGAAAGTAAGAACCAAATTACCTTATTAATCAAATATCTCAAGGTAAGAAAACTTGTTTGAGATTCGAATTACTTCACTAGCAATATTAATCAAGTCATGTTTGAATGCTTCTAAGCATGCAACCTAAGCTACATTCCAAAGAAACTTAGTTCTAGACGAAGGGAAAGGACAAATGCTCTTTTTACTATATTTTTCAAGTCTTCTTTATAAAGAGAAATTAATAAGCCTCGAAGTTCAAATTTTATGACCATAACCCGCCATAATAAAATGTAATCTAAAAAGTGAATAAAAAGACTTCAAACTAAAAATACATGGAAAAGACACCGAGAATAGACGTTTCTAATCAGCCAACCATGTATTTGTAACCTTTCTTGCATAAATGAAGCCGCACTTGAAGTAGTTTGAAGTCATTGTTCCGTAAATGAAACTCAACTTTGTCTTGAGTTCACCATAAATGAACGTTGGCTACATTTAATGCCACTCTTGATCACATGCTTAAGCATCTTGTTTGAGTTTTGATTTATTTCTTAAGCCTAGTTTGCTTGTTTGTATTCAAAGAATGCTATTATCCATTGGATTGGAAACAAGGTTGGCTTCTCTATTTAAAATTTTGAGAGAGGAGAATGAAAGCTTAATTTGTGAAAAAGAAAAAGAGTGCAAACACGGGTGACCTAAATTTCTTTGAGGGTGGTTGGTATGCATGTGAGAGAGTGTTGTGAGGTCCTTTTTTGGTATTTTTCTTAGCTTTGTTTTTGTAGGAAAGTTTGACATACAGATTTGAGTACGAAACCTCTTGAAAAAGTGGAGAATGATATGAATGAAGACGACTTTATCACGTGTCTAAGATTTCAATAAAATTAAGTTGCATTAAATGCACTCGGACTTCATTCATGACAAACCAAAGTTAAACTGATGTTAGAGTCGAGTAACGTTAAAGTTAAACTCAAGTTGCAATTAATGAACTCAAGTGAAACCAAGATCACATGACAGAAGAATCAAGCTTCATACATACTACAAGAGTTTCAAACCAATTTAAGTGAGACTTCATTTGTTTTTAGATGTTTATAAATTCTTGGGTGGCTGATTGTAATCTCTTATTTTTGGATTTATGGTTTTAAATATATTTTCCGCGGTTGTTACATTTACAAAATGACTGATTATAGTCATAAAGTTTTAACACGATTTCATTTTGAGGCTATATAAAGCCTTATGATTTTTCCTTTTAGCTTAAAGCTAAGTTTCTTTGTAATTCTGTATCGTGAGTTGTCTTCAAATTCATTTAGGAACTCAAGATTTGCAGATGGGAAGTCATATGCACATGGCTCAATGTACTTGCATTGAATATGTAGGCTTTATTGTTTCCTATTTCTGGTGGTTATTTTCTTGAACAATTTTAACATTTGCTATTATCCAATTATGCTTAGAGTTCGTATTTTAAAGAAATCTTCAATAAACTTGCCCGTTTTTCAGTTTGCAGAGAGCCAACCTGGTGGCTACATTTACTCTGGACAAACTACACAAATCTTTCTAATGAGCAGATCTGCAGTTTCAGTTTCAACTCATTCTGATCGAGGTATACAAATTCTTCTAATTGGCCAATTTATGATACCGAGTTAACTTTCTACGTTAATTCCCAGAAATTAATGTTTAAATATGAGGAAACGTTATCGAATATGCAAGGGGGGTATGAATCGAATTGAATTAGAATGAGCATACGATGATGATGATACTGATATCTTTTCCCAACTCCGAGCATTGTGTTCATTTTCAGGCAATTTTCAAGTAAATGTGACCCATTTACATTTATTTCATATCATACTTAGAAATGTTTTATTTGACCAGCAAGAATAAAGTTTCAGTTTCAGTTTGCCAGTCCGAATATGGTTTAGAGAATGACCCCAATTATAATTTCAAAAGTCGATGGTTCAACCATCTATGTGAAATGACTATCAGACTGGTCTACCAAGAGTAAGAGCCAAATAACAGTATATAATAAACCCAGGTATCCTGTAGGTGAGACAAATATGATAGTGGTACCCAAGTTGATCGAGGAACTCGGGATTATCGAGAATGAAAGTAAAAAAGCAACGATAAAAGTAATTTCTTTTGATAATAATTCTCTTTGATAGATACCTGCCATAAGACAGTCAAACAGGATAGCCATGAAGAACCTTATGAAACCTAGAGCATTGACATGAAACATTTCCTTCAACCCATACCCAATCTTCATCATAAGCTGAAGCCTGCTAATGAAAGGAAAGTGGGTTCTGATCAACCTGTTCTTATGGAAAATTAGCACACAAATTCATGGCTAGGAAACCTCTGCACTTTTAGCATAGAACACATAAATCATCTAATAAGCAGAGCCCTTACAACACCTTCCCCCTTCTTCGCAAGACATTTATAATGAAATGTAAACCAAGTAGAACTCATGCAAGTTAAGTATAAAGGCTTCAGAATCAATTACAAATAGGAAGAAATCAATCGATCAAACACAAAGTAGAAGTTTCCCATTGATCCAGGGCATCAATAAGTGGCAAGTCAACAAATTGTATAACAATTACAAATAACAAGAGCGAGCATTTGCGATCCAATAGAGTATGTTATGAATAAACTAAACTGTGCAACAACATTATGAAGAAACAAAAATGCTTTACCCGTGCAGACCCTCCCTCTAGTTAGAACAGATTTGTGTAATTTGCAATCCTAATGCCTATATCGGCACATATCTCTTAACTGCCTGCTTTCCCGCAACTGCAGCTGCAGCAGCAATCCCTCCAATGGCACCGGCGATAGCGGCTGACCTCGGCCCGGAAGCCGCCTTGTAAAGCGCACCAGTCCCCAATCCGGCGACAATACTGTTCAAAACATCATCAGTACCTCTCAAATGAATAACCCCACTTTCCAAACCAGCAAAAATCAAGCCAAGAATCCCAAGAGAGTTCCCAGCCCTCCGACCGAGCTGGCCCCCAGAATTGAGAACTCGATTGAGACGGAGCTTGACAGAGTCGCCAGGCTCTGCCGCTCTGAGACCCTGAATAGAGCCTCTGGCGCCGCCGAGAAGGGCGCCAGAGAGGTAGCCAATTCCAGTATAGTACTGGAGATTTTCGCCCCAAGAACGGTGGGGCCTGGCGGCCTCTTCGAAGAAAAGATGCTCGGGAGCGGTGGGGAGCTCGTAGAGCTTTGTGATCGGAACGTGTAGGTCTTGGTAAGGGTGGTAGAAACGGGTATTCTTCCGATCATCACCTGAGTTGGAGGAATCTTCCATTGGAGGAGGAAGAAGTGATGATCGAAGGACCAGAAATTAGGGTTTGAATGAGAGTTGAATCAAAAGAGGGGGCTTCAAAAGCTTCGAAGGGTTTATGGGAGGAAGCTTCGTGCGTAGCGTAGGGTTTAACGCGGAACGGAGTGCTAAACTAATAAAAATAATAAAATAATGACCAACTTCATTTCGCTTTGGTCTCAAAATAAAATAAAATAAAAAATAAAAACAAAAAATTCTAAGGGTATACACATTTACCATGCATGGGGCCAACAAGGCGCGAGCGGGTGGCCCACGGGGGCGTGCGGGCGGCGTGTGCGTTGGTGCGACATGGGGCTTGGCGTGCACGCACTCAAGGTCATGTAGGGCGCACGGGCATGGGGCCAACAAGGCACGTGCGCACCTAGAACGCACAAGCAATGACAAGCTAACCCATAATTTTTGGTTGGTTGGGTTGGTCTAATAGAATTCACCGAGTTGTGGGTTCTCACAGTATATGTTACATTAATGACTAAAATTTCATAAAGCTCAAATATCAAATATTCATCTATCACAAGCCGTTACCAATATTAAATATTTTTAATTTTTATAATAATTTTAAAACTAGGATTGCCCCGACTATTAACTTGCAAATAGACCTTAATTCCAAAAAAAAAAAATTAAGAAAATCTAACTCGTCCCAACTTTTATGGTTTGGGTCGAATTATTGAATCTTATCCACAACCATTCTCTCGAGTACTAATAAAATAAATTAAAATATTATTATTAATTATTATTATTTTAATTAAATATTATATGAGCATATTATTTAATAATATATTTTAATTAGTTAAAAGTATGATGGGGTATTTTTAGTAGTCACGATATGTCTGAGTGAAGTAAACAACATTAACGACCCATCCATTTCGATTTACAATAACTTTAAACAACATTGAACTAATAATTTTATTCTGATTCGACTTGAATTTCATATATTTTGTGGCACGCTGCCTAGATTAATTATATTATATTATTATAGCAGTGAGTACCACTAGCTTCGTTCATTCTCAACTATACATTTTACGATAATATTGAATCTATTAAAAAATTTAATGATTAAATTATAAATTAATCTTGGTACTTTAGAGGGATGTTTAGGTCGTTTAGTGGATTTATAAAATCTGAAGTTGTTTAGTTTGCGGAGATAAATAAGATGTTTGAGTACTAAGTAATTTAGTCTAGATTAAGGAAATTTATTGTTTGGGGCGTAGAGTTATTTAGTTCGAGAATAAAAAATGTAACAATCTAAGCCCACCGCTAACAGATATTGTCCGTTTTTGTCTGTTACATATCGCTATCAGCCTCACGATTTTAAAATGCATTTGCTAGAGAGAGAGGTCTCAATTTTGTTTAAAATGTAGATAGTGACAAAAATATCGAGGTCTCAATTTTGTAGAAACATATACGAAAATATTCCTCATGTGCCAATGTCGTAAAAAATTATAAAATAAAAAAAAATTAAAATCAACCCTTATAATTTTTTAAATAAATTAAAATGTTTATTATTAACGTGGGAAGATGGAGAGACAAAAAGAGCTCATCGATAAATGCACGGACTTCAATAGTGAACACGGTTCATTAAATATATAGATTTTAGTAATAAACATCGTTAAAATTGGTGCGGTGGAGTTATTTTAGCCCACACGGCCCTTTTCGAAGCGGGTGGACCAAACATCTCTTAAAATGTTTTAATAAGAGCCATATACTCTCATCAATTCGACGTTGACATGACATGCATATCGGATAGTGTGTCACATCACTTAAGTTACCCGATTAATTACGACAATTTTTAAAAAATACAAACATTTTGAAATTTTTTTAAAAATATATTTAAATTTTTTTAAAAGAATTAAGAAAGCAAAGGCAATAGAATGGTTGTATTTTGTTTGATTTAATGGCATTATGTTATGGTGAGGGGCCATAAAAGTTGAAATGGAAGGGTACCCCTCTCCTTTTTTTTTGTATATTTTTGGACAAACGTGTGTGCTGGGTAACGACTAATCTTTTATGACACGTCTCTATCATGTTTTTACAACTCATTGCTGGTTGTTCAATCCATTTAATGATCTTGCCCTTTTCTCTCGTCTTTGTCTTTGTCTCTGTCTCGTTTCTTTGTCTTTCTTTGATTCCTTGAAGTCGGCATCTATTTCGAGTCGACCCTTCATGAATCTTTCTTCTTTCTTGACCTCAGTGCGGACTAACTTCGGATCAAACTACATTAATCTCGCAATTTCTGTGTGGATTGTATGAATGATCCACGCAATACCTTCGAATCAAACGGAAGATCATCTCCATTGATGATGATTATAATTTTGCCACTGTTGGGTCATCAGAGATCCTTAAGATGTGGGGTCGTATCTTTTGAAATCACTTACATACGTTGCCTCTCGTGTCATCACCGAGTTGTTGGATGGTTGTCATAGCCTGCATCATTATATAGAATGTCTCCCGTGTCAAGATGTTGTAGTCAAGTTCAACTCTACTAGAGGCACTGTCGAGGCCTATATGACTAACTGATCCTTCACGAGACGAAATCTTCTTACCCCTACCTCGTCTTCTGGTAGGGAGTTGTCCTTCAAGTGGCATAATCAATTAGCCAAAGACGTAGGATACTAAGTCTATCATTCTTAACATGTCATCAATCATACAAAACGTTTTATCATATACATAAAAAAAAAATCATGGCCATCATTTAACATCATCATTTATTATCTTTCATAGATCATAACACAAAGACTGCGAAAATCTTCCTCAGTTGACACCGTCATCCGTACATGAGACCGTGCATTTATCTAAAAACGGTTAAAACATGGTTTGAATATTTTAAAGTACTCAATAAGTGACCCCACCGTTGAGGCAAAAAAATCCAATCACATGTAAAATTGTTCATGATGGGACCTACTTTTTGTGATTATTCTTTGGGTTGTACTTTCTTTTACATCTCTACATACAATTCATACAAGCTCGTGACATACAACATGCACGAGGTTCCACATTTTAAATCGTGGTACATGGTTATAATGCACATCATACCTCTATTTTTTTCGTGACATAACCTTCTTATGAGACATATATACGTGTGCATGACATATCATTCATAGTTATCGTGCATGACCCATCAAATATCTCATAGGGTACAACGTGAACATGATATCATAACATACATAGATCAATATACATATATCGTTCCATGTCATTATAATTAAAAACATATATAAAGAATCAAAGCGTGTAACTCTCCTATTTGTTATGAATTAATTGGCTAAAAAATGGCCTTACTCATCTCCAATTCTCCCAATTATGTCACAACTACGAAACATTTCAAAATGGTATGATAGGTGTAAAAAATCCAATTTGAACTGAGGGAAAGTCGAAAATAGGGCTATGAGTCGTGGACAGAGGGGAACGATTAGACTTAGTTGACCGTGAGTCACAAATTGGAGGAGAGACTTTTGGAGCATACGGGTTAGCTCCCGAGCTAGCGTGGGTTAGGCATAGGTTTCTAGACGTGAGTCGAGCCTTGCGTGTAGTGCTAAATCATAGTTGGGCTGTAGTGTCTGGGTGCAAGTCGTCGTAGTTATGAAAAATTATTCTTAGTGTTCGGGATAAACTTTATTCATTAGCTTAACACAATCGTTACTTTAGTTGTTGAAAATTTTCATTCGGATTAGAAAAAAAAAAAAAAATCCATTTTGAGAGAATAATTAGCAAAAAAAAGACATTAAAATACAAAAAAAAAATAAATAAAAGAAATTATTCCCTTTTTATTTTCTTTTTCCAATAGGTCAAATCCATCAATCATCTCCCAACGTATTAAAAGAAATTAAAAAAAAAATTATTGAAATCTTCAAAATCCAAAATTCACAATCCAGCTCTCTATTTTCGGATTAAAACGTCTCATTATTATTTTTACTGAGCTACAATATATATTAATTAAAAATTAAAATACTAAATAGCTACCAATAATAACACATTATTAATATTAGTGGTAAACGTTAAATATTTTAAATTTTTTTATAATCGATTTGTAAAGCTGTTTTCGTGTACGTTTTTCAATTTAAAAAAAATTGAACCCAAATTATCGAGTGATATAAACAATCGATCTGTAAATGTGTAACGTGATTGGAGGGCGTAGAGAAGGTAAAATAGGAAGGGAAACATGTGAAGATAGCCTTAGAGACATAAATAATTGGCCCCAATCTCTGCATGTGTTCACGTGTCTGTGTCATCCAGTTGCCGTTAATTACACCATCATCTCTTCCCCTTCTGCCCTTCGCATTTGCATAGGATTCTACATGGGCCCCACCCCCTCAATACTCTTTTTTTATTTAATAAAATAAATAAATGAATCTTACATCACCTTCACCACCACTCGCACTTCACAGCGCGTCTCTTTCACCGCTATCCAATAAATAAATATATATATATATATATTCCGGATGAATTGTCAATTTTAGTACTACTTTTTTAAAAAATGACAATTTTACTTTGTATTTTTTTTTATCTCATTTATAAATTTATTTTCAAAATTTATAAATAAAATGAAAATGATCACTTTTTTTAAAACAAAGTATTAAAATTAAACTTTATTTAAATAAAAATAATAATATTATTATTTATGTTTATATTAATGATATCAATAATTTTAATATTGATAATAAAATCTCTGGTTTATATATATATTTATTTATTTTGTGATGTCACTGGGGAGGAGAACAAAGCACCATTTATAAGGGTGTGGACACTTTTTCCTAGCAGATGTGTTTTAAAACTTTGATGGGAAACTCGAAAGAGAAAGTCCAAAGAGGACAATATCTGCTAGCGGTGGGTTTGAGTCGTCTATCAATATATGTTTATAACAATTTAGATGAAGAACTAAATTAATAATTTATTCTCTATTAAAATTATATAATTGAAAAATGGATAAAAATATAAGATATTATATAAAAAAAAATTAAAAAATAGAGACTAAAATAAACTGAAATTTTTAAAAATATTTTCACTTATTAAAAAAATTATTAGAATAAAAAAATTCTTCAACATAGAAAATTATTAGTAAATAACATCATTTTTAGAATAAAAAAATATTTTCATTTTAAATATATATAATAGCAAATTTAATTACATAAATTCCATATTAATAATTTTATAAAAAGAAATTATATAAAAACTATAAATAAATATTTAATTTATAAAGGTGTTCATAGCTTATAAAATAGTATAAAATGTTATTATTAAATATAACATAAATACATTTAATTTTTAATAAATGGACAATCATAAAAGGGTAGAATTTAAAGAAATATGTATTAAATGTGGGCTATTTTTATTTTTATTTTAATAAGATGTGTGGTTGTGATTGAGTGATCAAAATTTGTAGGGCCAAGATCATATATTGTAGCTATATATTAGCTGTTCAAAAAGATATTTTGTACCACATTTTCATCATATATATATTTCGTAATTTTCTTTAAATATTTTTTTAAAAAGAAAATTTAAATTATATCATTGAAGTTCGAAGATTTTAACGCTCGGTTGAACACATCTGTTTTAACGAGTTAAATTATACTCTAATAGTGAAATAATTTATTATAAATACACACAGTATCAAATTTTCAACGTTTATAAATACCGTAACTACTTAATATCTAACTAATTTTTTTTTTTTAAGTTCAATATGGACCTCTTACCAATAACGTTTACTAGCTAGACAGTTGAATGTATAATCTAGGAGCGTTCGTAGGTCGAGTCGGGTTTGATTAAAACATTTTTTAGACCTAACCCATTTTACCCTAAAGAACTATCGTTAAAAAATGAACCCGACTCAATCCAACCGTAATTTTTTTTTTGTTGTGTTGCTTCGGGTTCTTTGGGTCAATTTATTTTGTCAAATTCTCTCTACCCAGAAAGTTATATATCATTCCTTTCAAACTCGGCTTTCAAAATCTGTCTGCCCCATCTTCTAAAACCTTCTTCTCAAACAGGACCAAAGGCTTGAGTATACGTTACACGGCCGTAAGCGACACGAATATAAACTGGCTTGACTCACTAGGTGTTGGAAGTGAGTACCGCATCGAATTTTTCGGGTCATTTAAGATAATTAAACACAAAACATTGGTAGAGTAGTTGGTGCATGCATTGAATACTAAGTCTCTTTGAGTGTTGTTTGGAGGGTGAGTTTCAGTTTCTTAGAAAAGGGTGTGTGGGGTATCTCTTTTTGTCTTCCACAACCAGACAAATTGTTTCATAAACAAGATTGAGATCTAGAGAGAGAAGAACAAGAACAAGAACATATTCATAGTATAGGGGTGTGTGTGTGTTTTTTGTTGTGTTTTTTCAAGCATTTTAAGAGAGAAGAAGAAGAAGAAGAGCAAATACACTCCACACACAATGTTTGAAGGATCAGTGTCTGAGCAGCTTCATCAATTCTTAACACCAAGAACACCACCGCCACCACCACCGTCGCCGCCACCGCCACCGCCGCCAAATCCTAACTCTCTTCCTCTTCCACTTAATTTTGCTCTTCATTCTCCCAATTTCAACTTCCACCCTTTTGATTCTTACCATTCTACAACTACCCATCAAATTTATCTTCATCATGATCTTTTCCATCAGAAGGACGACGAGACGAGAACGACGACATCGACTGGAAATTTGCAGGTGGCCATGGATTTGGACGTCGGTAGATCCATTTTGATGGACGATCATCATCATCATCATCATCGTCAATGGAGCAACGACGAGCTTCTTGCTCTCCTCACGATTAGATCCAACATTGATAATTGCTTCCATGAATCCACTTGGGAACATGTTTCAAGGTCATCAAATTCTTCTTCTTCTTCATGTTTTTTTGTTTTCTAATCATATTTTTGGTTCCATTTGGTGGCCTAATTCACTTCAATTCTACTCGATTCGTTTGTTTTTTTGCTTGGGAAATATGACATTGTGTGTAAAAATGAGAAACATGTCATTCTTAACATGACATCAGAGTATCATTCTTAAAAAAACCTGTACTAAATGCAGGCATATGTGTCGGTGAGTGCAGGAAGTTGGGCGAGGTGGGTTTTAGAAGAACCGCGGAGAAATGCAAAGAGAAATTTGAAGAAGAGACAAGATATTTCAACCACATTAATTATCACCCACATCACCCTAATCAAGATCGAGACCGAGATCGAGATCGAGATCACCTCCCCTTAATCCATACCGAAAACGGGAAACCCGACGATGGTAAGGCCGACATCGTGGTACCAGAAGTCCAAGAAGGATCGAAAAACGACGAAACGATAGCAAGTAAGAAGAGGAAGAGGAAGACGAGGACGAAATTCGAATTATTGAAGGGTTATTGTGAGGAAATTGTGAAGAACATGATGATCCAACAAGAGGAAATTCACTCAAAGCTTTTAGATGATATGTTGAAAAGGGAAGAAGAGAAGATAGCTAAAGAGGAATGTTGGAAGAAGCAACAAATGGAGAGGCTACACAAGGAGCTTGAAGTGATGGCATATGAACAAGCCATTGCAAGTGATAGGCAAGCTACAATCATTCAAATTTTGAACCAAATCACAAATTCATCCACTTTTTCATCCTCAAGTTCCCAAAAAGAGCTACAAAATTTACTCAAAACATTGAATTATAATCATAATAATCTCCCAAATTCTCCCTCTTCATCATCCTTAATCCAAACCCATTCAAGTCCCAACAAAGAACACCCACAAATTGATCCAAAAAACCCTAAAAACCCTTGTTTATCAACAAAAATCCTTGCTCCTCAAGACCCTAATTCCTTGATCAACCATTCAAACCCACCACCATCTTCCCCCACAAGCCCTAAACCTAGAGATGACTTGGGAAAAAGATGGCCAAGAGATGAAGTTTTGGCTCTAGTGAATGTGAGGTGTAGCCTCTACGGCAACGGTGTCGGTGATCGGGATCAGAGCGGTAAAGCGCCGTTGTGGGAGAGAATTTCGCAAGGAATGCTTCAAATGGGTTACAAGAGAAGTGCGAAAAGGTGCAAAGAGAAATGGGAGAATATAAACAAGTACTTTAGGAAAACGAAAGATGTCAATAAGAAGAGAGCTCTCGATTCAAGAACTTGCCCTTATTTCCACCAACTTAGTACGTTGTACAATCAAGGAGGTGGGAATGAGCATCCCGAGAAGTGCTCGATCGTGTCATCGGAAAATCTCTCCAACCAATCGAAAATCACTAAGTGAATTGCAAGCTTAAGATCGCTCCAATAATGTGGCTGACAATTTTATTCCGGGATGTAAGTGCTTTGGTTTTGGGAACTTGTGATGAATTTGAGATATGGAGGCAACGGGTGAGTGGGCTTGTTGGGTGTGTACTTCGTCTGAGCACCGACACAGTCTTTGAGTAATGAGAACCCAAAATTTTGGATAACACTCACCATTCTCTTGTTCTTTAATATATTTTAAAACCAATTCAAAATTTGTGTACTCAAAATTTTATGACTAGAAAGATCAAGAAAAGAATTTGGTTATAGTTGTTCGTTATTCGAGAACGTGAAGACATTCCCTCATCGACTCTCTGCACCAAAATCTCTATGCATTGTTTTCTGTAATAACCGTTAGAAAGTTGTCAATTTAACAAGAAGTCATTTAAGTGGACTACTATATAATTGATTAATCTCCCGTTGAGGTGCATTTATCAAATTAGCTTCTCGAGTCACTAGAAAGAAGGTGAAAGACCCTTTACTTCTTAACGTATTTTAGCCATTTTCCTTCTCGTGCTATAGTTTAGGGGTTCCTTCCTAGTTTATATTTCTCTTCTACAAGTGTACTTCTGTACCGATTGGATCTCTTTTTTTAAGTTTAGTCGGCACTGCTTTTTGTGAGTTAATAAGTCTGACTTAACAAAATAAGTTATTAACTTAAACAATTTTAAGATAATTGTTTAATAGTTATTAACTTGTGAATAGTTATTAGTCTTTTGTTTCTTGGTTAGTAGTTGCTAAGTTGCGGAGAAAATTTAGGAAATTTGTCAGTGTTTTCAAGGATAGTGGGGAACAATGCATCTTGCCTTGTGGGAGATGTCCATTTCTGGCCCGAAAGGACCGCTCACTAGCTAGCCAGATTAGTTGGGCCCTATTCGGAGACGTACTAAAATCCATGTCTTTTGAACTCAAATTAAAAGAAAAATGTGCTCGTTGGGAAGAAAGATAGAGTGCTGCCTATAGAGCACGTGTAAGGCACAGTCAGGTTAATCACGCAGTGAATCTTTATCTCTCTCTAGATATTTAAAGATGGAGAGAGATGTGAAAGTAATAGCTTTATGTTATGGCCGCCCCCGACTTATGGCCTTTACGCTACTACTACTGTGATGTGAGCGGTTCAAATTGGTTTGATCTTTCCCAATGATCATGCAGGAACTTGTACTCAGCATGAAAAGTAGTGTCTAAGGTTCTTCTATTCAAAAGCTCTCTCCTCTCACGTTGTTCATTCTGTTTAATCTATTTGTTTTCGTCTATTTCGATCATGGGCCATTTCCAACACTTCTCGTATCTTATTTTTAAGAGGGTATTCTTTGTTCTCTGCGGTACTACCTGCGTTGGCACTCTACGCAACGCTAAACTCGGCTGATTAGTGTCAGGTTAATCGTCTAGTTTTCTTTCAGAACTTCACCTACACGGGAGGTTGGGACACCAGCTTTAATGCATAGTTGGCTTTTATCGGAAAATGGAAGAATGGTTTCTATATACATTGTTGGATATAGTCCACGATCGAAATATGCTTAACACGTTTCACACCCACATGCATTATTTGCAGCGTCTCCTACATTGCCTTTGTCGAGTCCTTCTATGCCGACAGGAGTAGGACGTCCTCTTATCCAATATCCAATATCCTTAGGAGAGATCTCACATCGATTGTTGAGAGGAACGAAGAATTCTTTGTAACAGTGTGAAAATCTCTCCCTAACAGACGCGTTTTAAAATTGTGAAGTTGATGGCGATACGTAATAGGTCAAAAGCGGACAGTGGTGAGCTTGGACTTGGGCCTGGGTTTTGGTTGTTACACAAACTCATTGGGCAAGCCTTCAACTTAAGATCTAAGCTTTTGATTTGTTCAAACCATCAAGAATTGAGGAAGAACCGAAGTTAAGCATTGTGAGTTCTTGATTTCAGTTTTCCTCCAAATTCGAGAGCTTTTCCTATATTTAACTAATGAATTTTTAGTACGTTGATATTTGAGAGATTTTGCACATCACGAAAGAAACTGGAGTTGGTTCGAATTGAAAGACAGTGTTACGGAGATCATCAAGAAACGGTAAGTTTTGAAATTTTTTAATATCTTTGGAAGTGATTATTTCCTTTTGTTCTTGTCCTAAAATTAATAAATGTATCTTTGTGAAGATGGATTAAAGGTCTACAAATTTGGTAAAGAAACAATTTTGATTCGAGTTTGGTAGGAAAAGTTATGAAACTCCGTACAAAAGAATAAAAACTTATCAGAATCTTGAAAAATGCTTGTGCAGACGAGAGAGCAAGACACGTGTCGATCGACGACAGGCGTGGTGCGTCCGACAATCGGGTGGGCCATGTGTCAATTGATGTGTGGTTCTATGCAATGGGCTAAGGTACAGACACGTGTCGAAGGTTGGTAGGTGTACATGACTTGCAAAGCGACTTGACCCGAGAAATGAACCTTAACCCACTTTGCCTACCTATATCTAGAGGATTCGACCGTGTCAGCTAAAAAGAGAATATGCATAACTAGAATATGAGTTGGGGAATACGAAGGAGTCTGCTATGTAAGATGTAAGAAATTACTAAAATGACGTTATAATGAGATTTGTGATGAATATTGTTTTATGACTTCCATTCTGTTATAAAGTAGGATGAACTATTGTGATATGTGCTTCCGGTTATTGGTGGATGTTGTCTCCCATTGAGTTTGTTGCTCATATGTTTGCATGATACAATATGTTTAGCTTCGGGTTGTTGAATGTGTGTTTCTTGAGCAGAGGGAATTTCTCTCCATAGAGCTAGAACTAGGGCACTAGAGTTATGTTAACTAGACGACAACCAAGGCCAAGATGCCTCCAGCAGACTGAGCACCTTAGGATTCCGAGCGACAGACAGATAATCTAGACCCTAGTGCTCCTAAACTAAGAACGACTCGATGAGTCAGAATAGAATACCATGATAGTAAGTACCGTATAACATAAAAGTTTTAAACTACCTAAGATTCTAATAGACAGTAAGTACGAGCACGGTTGAGCCAAGCCACGGTTAGTTAGGGTCGTGTAATGGATAGTGCAATATTTTACCCTAAAGAAAATCCGTTGTAAGAGTGGACGTGTGATTACGTATTAATAGAGATTATCGTTAAGATTTGTTAAAGTAAGAGGAGTAAAATTAAATATTTAGAAGAAGAAAAAAAATTAAGATTTCAAAATTAAAATAATATTTTAATAAATTTTAAAATCAATTGAAAGCATTATTTTACTTCTGGTACCACCAGCCGTAGGATCCAATGCTTATGACGTCATCAGACACGTGTACGCACAATCTGAAAAAACCAAGTCGATCGAGTAAGAATCTTCTACCGTCTTCTATAAAATTAAAGTCAAAGAAAGAAATCATTGAGTTTAAATGAATCACAGTCGTTTGATCAGAGTGGGCCCCACAAGTGCACGTGTGGCAGATTTCTTGCGTAGTAGTACTATTATTATTATCATTATTATCCCGACAAGAATCAGAGCACGGCACGGCAGGTGGCAGCATCAGAGCGTTGCAGAGCCATCACATGTAATGTAGATGCGTTGCAGAGAATCAAAGCCCCACGCCTCATGGCCCACTCAAACTGAAAATTCTGCCACTATTATTATTTTGTTTCTATATATATATATATATATATATTTTTTTTTTTTTTTTTTTTTTAAAGGTGAATTATTGTGGGATCATGCTTTTCCCTCTTGTCATTCGTGTGCATTTGTGAATAGAGATTAAAAAAAAAACAAAAAAAAACAATACCGAATAAAGGAGGAATATATGAATGAATTGAAACCACATTCGGACGAACGCGATCTTAGAGATAGAATGGTTGAGAAAGGCTTAAAGAAATGAAAGTCACTATCTATACTAACAAAACTCATGTTTCTTTGTCGTGGCTCAATCATAGGAACTTCTTGATTAGAAATCATGTTTAGATAGGCTCGATTAGAGAGATATGTTTCTCATGTAAGGAAATAATTTGTTTTGGATTAAGGATTAGAGAGTTATGAAAATATAAATAAATTGATTTGGTAATAAAAAATTTGGAACATGTGCGTAGAGGAGAGATGAAGATAGGCCACACGTCGGACGATGAATGACGGAGTGTGTTTGGATACTGTTGGGAAAAATTCCGACTGAGTGGTGTATCAATGCATTATGCTGTGCAGCGACATGTCTATCGACCGACCCAACTTGAATCCAGATCAAGATTTGAGCATGACCCAGATCGATACCGACCCGAACGCCACTCAACCCACAGTCCGACCCGTAGACTTGTGTATCGGATCGAGATACTACTCGTCTGTTTCATGTTTGACACATGTCATAACACATAATTCGAAGGTAAAATTTCATTCGTTAGGGCTTGAAGCGAGGCTTTGCGTGTACGTTGATCGTGTGTGGGCCCTACGTGTGGTTGTGCGTGGTTGCGCTTGTGATGTCGCACATTAGTTGTAGAGTATAACAAAACACTCTTTATAAGGGTGTGGAAACCTTCCTCTAGCAGACACGTTTTAAAGCCTTGAGGGGAAGCCCGAAGGAAAAGTCCAAAGAGGATAATATCTGCTAGCGGTGGATCTGGGTCGTTACAGCGCTGTAGGTGCGTGGGGTCCCTATTTTTCGCCCATTTGATGCTTGATTGTTTATTTTATGCCTCGATTTCGATGCTAACCTCATTTTACTATGAATTAGACCCATCGTCCGGTAAGTAATTATATGAACTCCTAGGAAGTAATACTTGGATCACTTGATTTGCATGCATGCTAGAAAAATCGGTTTTAGGATTAGTTTGGCATGAACTATAACTAGGCTTATGACTTAAACACGTGATTATATGCTACTGTATGTATATATGGGTAAATTGGACCTCGCATGTTGTACTTTGTCGTTTTATATTACTTGTACAATATCATGCTATGTTGGAGGATGAGATTTTATGAAATCTACGCTCCGAGCGCTTAATGGATGCTATTGTCCCGTCGAGCATTGTATGTTTATTTGCATGATAGAATGTACATTAGCTCCAAGTGATTGATTGTGTGACTCTCCCCGTAGACAATTAGTAGTATAAACGACCTTAGGCTAGGGTGCGTGAGTTAGTTTGGCTAGTCTAAGACCTAGGACGAAATGCCTCCAGAGAACAAGTGTTATGGGATTGTGAGAGACAAT